AATAGAGCTCAGAAATAAACCCAAATGCTTCTGAGGGAGTTAAGTCTATTATAAACATGACATTTTAAATCAATGAGGAAAAGAAATCATTTGCAGCTCACCCCCCAATAGGCAGCAGGAATAGGAAGTCATTGGCAGAATAAAAAGATGGTAAGAACAGAATTGTGGAACAGTACATTTCTTGCTTCCCCACTTTTCAAAGTATTTTTTGCTTTTACACAAGTATGTGTAATATTATTTTCTAAGTGTATACTCATTCTTTTGTCTCTTTCTTAGATGAAAGAAAAGAGTTATATCTTTAGAAAAAGAGTTGTTAGAATAAAGCCTCGGCAGAGTCAGGGGGCAGTGACAGCACAGAAGAGACCAGAGAATAGCCTCCTGGAGGAGACCCTGCGCTGTGACCATGCTGTCCGGATGGGTACGGGGCTCTCTTCTACAGAGTGTTCAGTTCTGTGCTTTTTCTATGGTTCCCTTTCATAGAAACATTTGGGGTGATGTTTCTTTTCCCTCAACTTTTTATTTTAAAAACTTGCAAACACAGAAAAGTTGATAAAATCATACAGTGAACGTCTTTATGCTATTCAGCTGGATTCACTAGTTAACGTTCTGTCATATTTGTTTCTCTCTTCCGCATATGAAAGATTGTATATGTACCCTTTTAACCCCTGAATCATTTCAAAGTAAGTTGCCAGTATCAGAGCATTTCACTCTTAGGTACTTTTGCAGATATCTTCTAAGAACCAGGACATTCTCCTATATAATCACAATACCATTAATCTACCCCCAAAATTTAACGTCAATACACTAATGATACCTACTGTATAGATTATCATCAGCTTTCTTGCAGTAATCTGTGTACAAGACTTGCATCCTGTCACTGTCCACTGATTAAATTGTGAACTCTCACTTGAAACCCTGGTCATCTCACTGCCTTCTTTCTTATGCCCATTAAGTCAAAATGAGCTCTCATTTTATTTCAGCAGAAAAGAGAATGGAAAAGAGGGGAAGAGTCCCTAGGTACCTGGGATAAAGTATGAGCGCTTACTACCACACGTATTCTAGGTCTGTAGTTTTCAAACTCCAGGGAGCACCTCAAGGCTTATTAAAGCACAGATAGCTGTCCCTCTTCCCCACTTTCTGATTCAGGAGGTGTGGGGCTGGCCCAGGAATCTGCATGTCTAACAAGTTCCCACGTGTTGCTGATGCTGAGGGTCTAAGGACCACAATGTGAGGATCAGTGGTTTAGCAGATAGCTACCTAATTAATACATGTTTTATTTCCTTTAGCACCTGTGATTACAGAGGAAACACCTTTCACCTGGAAGATATCATTAAACAAGATAAGAGATCAGGTCAGTAAGAATTAAATTTAACTTAATTGAAATATCACTGAAATGTTTAGAAATCATATGACAGGCCAGGCACAGTGGCTTATGCCTGTAATCCCAGTACTTTGGGAGGACAAGGCAGAAGGATCCCTTGAGGTCAGGAGTTTGAGACCAGCCTGTCCAAGATAGTAAAACTCCACCTCTACTAAAAATACAAAAATTAGCTGGGCATGGTGGTGTGTGCCTGTATTCCCAGCTACTCAGGAGGCTGAGCCAGGGGAATCGCTTGAACTTGGGAGATGGAGGTTGCAGTGAGCTGAGATGCGCCACTGCACTCCAGCCTGGGCAACAGAGAAAGACTCCGTCTCTAAATAAATATGTAAATAAATAAATAAATAAATAAATAGTAAAAATAAAAAATAAAGGGTAGATGGGGCAGCTTTGCATACTGCACGCCCTGAAAATGGGCTGATTTCCCTCAAGAAGCAGGGATTTAAGCTCTCTAGCCTACATGGGATGCATACAGAAGAAAAAAGAAGAAAACAAAAAGAAATGTAAGTATAAATAAATGAAAACAACTCTTCTCCCTGATTATAAAGGAAATCACATTCTTTTTGTAAGAATTTGGATGACAAAATATAAAGAAAAATCTTTAATTTTGCCACTCAACACATTCTGGTTTGTTGCTTTTTACACTTTTTGTGCCTAGAAACATTTTAACGAAGTAGAATCATAATACATGGTCTTTTGTCACTGACTATATTTTCAGCATGTTTCTATGGGAGAAATATATCCTGGCATCATCATTTTTAATAACTGCATGTATGTTAAGTGAATCGTTGCCACCCCAGAGTGAATTTCCTTCCATATACATTTTAATGGACTTGAGTAAGGATTTTTGCACCAAATTCATAGATGTAGAATTTCTAGAGGAAAATAATATAAAACAGTTTTAGGATTTTTAAAAGAAATGATCAAATTATCCTGCAGGAAAATTGTTGAGTTTACACTCCCACAAACAGGGACGGAGCTCCAGGTTCCACCTGCCGTTTGTCATTTCTGCTGGTCTTTAAGCAGAACATCTCATTGTTTTCATTACATTTCTTTGATTTCTAGTGCTTTTGAATCCTTTTCATATGCTCATTGACCATTTTTCTTCTAGTGGGAAGTGCCGGTTTCTCCATTGCCCATTTCCTGCTGGAAATCATTCATATTTTTTCTGAGTAATTTTAAAGATTTCTTTATAGGCTAAGGATATAAACCTTTTATCTGTCATTGAGGTTACAAAGACTTTCTCCCAGTAAGTAATTTGTCATTTCACTTTATTTATTTATTTTTTGCTAGCAAAGCACCAAAGTCAAATTTCACTTAATTATTATCCTGCTGAATGAAAATATTTTAACTTAGTGATTTTAGTGTAAATAGGAGCAGGACAGAATGTAATATCTAGATCTCACTCTGTCTCCCCAACTGGAGTGCAATGGCATGATCATAGCTACTGCAGCCTCAAACTCCTGGGCTCAAGCGATTTTCCCACCTCAGCCTCCCAAGTAGTTCTAGGACTACAGGTGTGTGCCGCCATGCCCAGCTAATTTTTAAATTTTTTGCAGAGATGGAATTCGCTATGCTGCGCAGGCTGGTCTTGAACTCCTGACTTACCCCACCTTGGCTTGCCAATATGCTGGGAAGACAGGAGTGAACTACTGCTCCCGGCCAAGAGCTTACTTTTGTTTGCTAGGAGTGTTCTTGGTATTTTTTTGTATTTGAGACTTTCATGCTAGTGCTGAAGTATTACACTCACCATCTGAGGTTTACAAGACTTTTGTTTTAATATTGAACAGAGGGAACTGTTTAGTTTTGCATCTTTGCAGGTATACAAAATGTGCCTAGCAGGACTCTGCTTTGTATCCATTGAAAAGCAAGAAGTAATACAGTAAAACTATAAATCGTAGAACTTTAGAAAAAAGCTTAGTTTGGGATAAGAAGCACACAGGTAATGGAGCAAATCATGAAAAAGTCAACCCTTGATCCCAGGTAGCAAGCACTACACAGTGACAGAACACAGTTCTTGGTTTTCATGATTGCAAGTCACAGCCAAGTATCAAGTGAGAAATTCAGTTTCATTTTCAGGGCTTAGAGAGGCCAGGTGATTCTAGAAAAATAGGATTTAGTGATTAACCTCATGAGAGTCGGCGTTATTTATGTCCTTTTCTCTCCCGCATCACTTAGCATTTAGCCTTACTTTAGAAGGGTCCTGTATTTGTTTTAAACTTGTAAAGACCTTTGAGTGCTTATTAAATGGAAAACTTTCTGTGTGTGTGTGTGTGTGTGTGTGTGTAGGTATGTATGCATGTGTATAAGTATATATGTATTTAGAGAAAAAGTCTCGTTCTGTAGCCCAGGCTGAAGTGCAGTGGCATGATTTTGGCTCACTGCAACCTCCGCCTACCAGGTTCAAGGGATTCTCCTGCCTAACCACCCAAGTAGCTGGGATTACAGGTACCTGCCACCATGCCCAGCTAGTTGTGTATTTTTAATGGAGACAGGGTTTCATCATGTTGGTCAAGCTGGCCTTGAATTCCTGAACTCAGGTGATCCACCCGCCCCAGCCTCCCAAAGTGCTGGGATTACAGGCATGAGCCGCCACACCTGGCTCTAAAGCTTTGTGTTTTTAAAGATGTTAGACAGGTTTCTTGTTTTTTTTTTTGTTTGTTTGTTTAATAAAACCTTAACAATAATATAGGAGAATAAGAGAAAGTTTTTCCAAAAAAGAGAAATCATTGTGATTATTTATCTTACTGAAATATAGGATAATATAGTCTTTATCAATCATCAAGCACATTATAAGTTTCCATTTTAATAGGATTTGTACCTCAATTGAGGTTATACAGTTTTAAAGTTTTTAAAGTGAAAGCCAGCCCCCGCCCCTCTCCTGGAGTGGGCGGGGACAGCAGTTGCATGGCGGCTTTCCTTGTGACACCACAGGTCCTTCATGACACGCTGCTGTCTGGCCACGCCTCCTTTCCCTTGCATCTTATTGACCAATGAGCTTGAAGCATTAAGGCCACGCCCCTATTCTGCATTCTACTGTGGCCCTGGTTACGCCTCCTCTGGCTCAGTCACACAGCTACGTGGCAGGTGACTGGAGGTGTATAGTTGTCCTCGCCTGGACTGTGCTGATGTGGCCCCAACCCCACCGCCCTACCCATCCCATGATGTCCGAAGAAACCCTACAGAAAAAATCGGCTAAGGCCAAGGAAAAGGTAAAATGTACCAGGTTGCAGCACCCCAACTCAGCCCCAGGCTCCCTCTGACAGCCAAACTGCTGCCAGAGTCTGTGCCACTCCTGAGGCACACCTGGCTGCCCCTCCCCCAGTGCCTCTGGGCTCCCCACACCCAAATCTTGTGAGCCAGCCCAACCCCCTCATGAGTCCTGCCCCTGCCCTCACCAGTCACCCCAGGGTGACTTTGAGCTGGTGACTTCTGGGGCTTCCCACTCCGTAGTCCACTCTTACCTCCTGCTACCCGAAACCCGACCTCCCTGGGGTCTTTGGGCTCATGTCTCCAAGCACCTGGGTGCCCCAGAACCTGCCCTCCACCAGTTGCCCCAGAGTCACTTTGGACAGGTGACTCCTGGGGCTCCCTGCTCCATACTCGGCCCTCACCTCCCACCGCCCCAAGCCTGACCTCCCTGGGCTCTTTGGGCTTGCGTCTCTAAGGACCTGGGTCCCAATCCTGTGACCCCCCTCCCGAATCTCAAAGCGGCAACTTGGGCATTGCACTCACGTGTCCCCCACCACTCCACCGAGGAGTGGAATGTAGTGATGTCGCAGTCCCTCTAGGAACTGTCATTACTGCAACGAGACCGTTCTCTGGACTTAGGACCCAGTCCCCTAAGTGTTTTTGCCCATTTCAGGTTCCTCTGGTTGCAGCACAGGTTTCCAGCTGGAAGGGGAATGGGGACCCTGGGACCTAGGAGAGAGAGGTTTCAGGCTGCCTTACTTCCTTAATACAGACATTGACAGTGTGAAAAGCCAACAAGTCCCCCATGAGCTCAACACGTTAACAGTGTCTCTGGGTGGCAATGGGAGAACAGGTTTGATTTGGTTTTCTCCCAGGCTTCTACTCTCCAGAGAGATTTTAACATTGTTTCTGAGTTCTCCACCTCAGATTTGAATTCT